GCCCGTCAGAGACCAGCCAGCCTGGGACCACTCCCAGCGGGCAGCCTGCAGCCATGACCGCCTCCTCGAGCCTCATTCCCTGAAGGGGCCACTGTGGCTGCCCCCGTTAGCCGCCAGGGCCCCTCGCTTGGCAGGCTGAGCGGGCCAGCGGGGCCTCTCGGACCAGGGCAGCGGTTGGGGGCTGGCTGACCACACGGCAGGGGATGAACAAAGCCCCCGGGGGCCCCAGCGAAGGGCCTCCGTGCTGAGGCCTGGCGTCCCGCTGCAGGGCGGCGGCGCCGGGCCGCCATGGACTTTCCTGGGGCCGCAGTTTTCCGAGTACAGCCGGCCGGGCACCCCGCTCCTGGTGCAGGTGCGGCGGCAGCAGCAGGTGGCTGTGGTCAGCAAGATGCCCTTCGTGCCCACCAACTACTACACCCTGAAGTGAGGGTGGCTGGGGGCGGGGCCCTCCACGGGAGGGCCTTCTACAAGGGCTGGCCAGGAAGCTGAGGCAGGACACGTGGGAGGTGGCGAGGGTGTAGGCTGGTTCTGGTTGTCTGGTTGTGGGCAGGACACACCACCTGCACCCCCTCACCCTGTGCCACTTCAATTTCAAGACCGATTTCTTAGTGCCGGACCAGCTCACCAATGTCTTGTTTCTGCCCACGCTCCCGTGGGCCCACTCTCACCTGCTGAGGGCTGAGAAGCGTCAGTCCCCGCATTTCCTCTGCCGGGTGCTGCCTGTGCCTCAAAGGCTCACCTTTAGGAGGATCGAGCTGCCCAGCCTACCTCACACTTCCAAGGGCGTGACCTTGGGCAGTGCCAGCCACCTGCTCTGGTTTACTGCCCATGAATGCAAACCGCTGCCTCTCCCTGGGCAGCACCGATTCCTGACCCGGAGGCGTGGCTCAGGAGGGCTGCTGCGCCCGGGTGCAAACTCGGCGATGGCTGAGGGGCACAAGTTGGCCCAGCCTGCTGCCCAGCGGCAAGCCAGCCAGGCTCACCGCTGTTCTGAGCCCAGGGCTGCTGTAGGGCAGGCTGGGCCCCCTCCTGGGCCTGCCTTCCCCTATGGCCTGTGACTGGACGCCACTGACTCCTAAAAAATAAACGAGCTTCCTTCTTCTTGCCAGAGTCTAGCTTCACTGTCCTCTGCCCACAGGGTTCCTGGGGTGCCACCCTGATGCTTGCTTCCTGGCCTCTGGGACAGGCTCAGGGGGTGCCCCTAGAGCGGGGCAGGTCTATAAGGACTAATGGGATAGTGCCCTTGTTGGGCACCCCGCACTACTTTAGGGAGCTGGCATTAACCCCCCAACTTCACAAGTCATTAAATTCTGGGAGCTGAGGGGCAACAGCCCTGGGGTATTCCCTTGTTTCCTGTGCATGCACGCCCTTGTCCTGTCTGAATAACCACACAGCTGATGCACTTCCATGTTTAATAGCCACGTCCTCAGTTGAGCCTCGAATGGAATGCGACCCCGACTCTGTGTGAGGTGGCGTCAGTGGGTCACCTGGGGCTGCCAGACCATCACCCCGTGGCAGACGGTGTCTCGGCAGTAAGCACCGGGCGGGCGCTCAGTGCCCTGTGCAGGCAGGCGGTCCAGGCACAGGCTGCCAGATGGCGATGGGACACCGACGGGGGGTGGGGTGGGGAGGGGGGCAGGCAGACGGCCCGGAGGCAGGTCTAGGCCACACCGCCTTCGGGAACTGGCCTCGCCGCCCATTCCTTTGGCAGGCCCCCTGGCCTACTTGGGAAGTGGCAGGCCTGCCTCGCCTGTGGCTCTGCCCTCTTAAAAGTTCTTGGGGGCTGAGATGGCGCTAGTGGGGAGGACCTGAGCCGAGAGCGCGCTCTTAGGACGAAGCTCCTGTGGTTCCGGGTCAAGATGGGAAGTGATGAGGCTGCAGGCAGGGCTGCCCTCCGCTAACTGCTTACGATCCAGAGAAGGGGCAGGGGACAGACCACCGCCCGGGCGCCGAGCACTGAAGGGTTGGGGTGGGAAGTCACCGTGGGGCTCAGCCTCTTCCAGCACCCCGCTTCCCTCCGAGGATTGAGAGGAATATGAGGATGATGCTCAGGATAAGAGTTTCCATAGCCCGGCTCACACCTGGAGAGCTCTGGATGCGACTGGAAGCTGGGTGTTTGGTGCCTCCATGTCTGGATGGTGCCAGCTGCCCCCTGCCTTACTTCTACTTGAATGGCCAACTAAGTACCCACAGAGTATAAGGCTGTGTCCAGGCCAAGATTCCTGGGTCCCTGCCAACACAGCAAAACCAAATTCAGAAAACCTATGGTGTAAGTGAAAACAGACTTCCCTTCAAATCCCAGAGCGAGTCACCTCAGGCTTCGTGAGGGACAGATCCTCCTGGGTCACCCCCCAGGGGGATGGGAAGAGGGACAGGAAAAAGCCAAGACAGGAAACGGGCTGCTGGCCTTCCTCACCCAGAGGCTTCTACACTGACCGAGAGAGCAGCACACCTGCTTTCCTTAAGGCACCAGATCAGGGGAGAGGAACTCTTTCCTGGCCCAGTGCCTGGGCTGCTGGAGGAAATGCCCAGGGCAGTGGGGGCCCAACTCCACAAGCACTGGGGTACTCCCTACCCCCCAACCCTGACGCCCCTGCAGTCGTCCCTGGGGCCTGGGCAGCAGTAGGGCCCAGTGTGGGAGCCGGCAGACCCGGAGATGTCCCTGGAGACCTCTGCTGCCTCCTTATTCTCTGTGGGTTTTGAGAGGCTCGTTTGCTGCCGTCTCCCTGAAGGTGATGGAGAGAAGAGAGAGTTAGTCAGCTGGCAGCACAACGGTCCCTGATGTTGGTTTCTCCTGCTCCTGGGGCTGAGTGGAGCTCAGCAGAGCCACACCACAACCCAAACCTCTCTGAGCTCCCACAGCGCCCCCTGGGCCCACCACCTTGCCCCGGCAGACCCATTCTCCCTCCCGGTCCCCGCCTCAGGAGGGCACTTCCATCCTTCCATCCATTTGCCTGAGGAAAAAACCTGAGCAGTGCAGGTCTCTTAATTGACCCCTTGCCCTCTAATTGGACCCCTTTATGTACTTGCCACAAAACAGGCAGATGAAAAAGCAAATTAGATTAAGCCATGGCCCCATGTGACTCAGTCCTTCAATAGCTCCCAAAAGTCTCGGCCAGGGGTGGGGACCCTTTCTCCTGCCCAGGGCCATGTGGGTATTTATAACACCTTTTCGGGCCATACAAAATCATCAACTTAAAAATTAGCCTGCTCTGCTTGGTCAAACACTTGACGTTCCCCACCCCCGGTCAGGGCTCTGCAGGTCCCTCCAGGCCTTCACGTTGGAGCTCCAGCATCACCGCCTTGTCTATTCCTCCAATATGTCACCTTGTTCTTGCCTCTGGGCCTATTTGAGCCATTGTTGGCCTTTGCCCTCAGCTTAAGTGTCTTTCTTTTTTTTTTTTAGTGTCTTTCTTAAGAGAAACCTCCAACCACCTTCACCCCTGCACTGCTCCCCCCACTCCCTTCAAATCTCTGGCTCCCCTGTAAGCAGGGCCTGGGTTAACCTTGTTCTCTGGTCCCTGTCAGGTGGTGGAAGCCCAGAGATTAGCTGAAAGAATGCCCTGACGACTGGGCCCATGTTTCACAGATGAGCAGGCTGATCCTAATGAGGCAGTCAGTGCCCGAAGGACAGAGGCCTGGCCGTTCCAGCGGGGCTGGCAGTGGAGTGCAGTGCAAGGCACTTGCCATTTCATCTCTGAAACTGTGAATGACACGGTTCACCCCACAGGGTGCTGAACAGCAAACCGATGAGGGACTGTTCCGACATCCTGGCCACCTGAAACCTGAGCTCTACTTGCTGATGTCCGAGCTTCTGGCAAAGGCCACTAAGCTGGAGGACTCCTGCCCTGAGAACTCCCCTCCCCAGGCCCCAGGACAGGAGTGTCCCTCTGCCTGCCTAGCACGGGGTTGAGATGGGAACAGATTTACTCACCACGAAGGGAAATGTGTGGAGCCATCGGGTGTGGATCCGTTCTGGCCGCCCAGACCTGGGGGCAGGAACACATCCAGAGCTGCAGCGGGCCGAGTTGGGGGTCTGAGCAGGCCTCAGCCCAGGCAGGTTAGAGGCCAGTGGCGTTTGGTGGAGGGTCTGGTGGAGGCCCTAAGGGACTAGTGCATTGTCTGGTGAGGGCTCAAAAAAACGGTTCTAACGAGATGCGTGGATACTGGCGTTTCTTGCGTGAAATGGTATGTTGGCATGGGTCAGAGGACAGCGTTAAGTTGCGATACGGTTCTTAGGGGACCAATGGTAGTCTAAGGGGGTTCTGGGGAGCCCAACGGTACATCCCGCTGGGTGTGAGGGCGGCCAGTCCACGGAGGCTGGCGGGGGGCCTCACCTGGGCGATGGTACAGCCCGGTCACCGTGCTCCCGTAGAACCCCCACGCCAGCTGGATGCACAGGAGGCTGAGCACCAACCACAGCAACAGCAGCTTGAAGAGGGTCACTCGCATGTCCTGCGCCTCCCACTCCCGCAGGAACTCGCTGCCCAGATTTAAATGCTGGTGGTTATAAAGAAAACTGAAAACAGCAGTACGTGGTTCAGACCTCTCTTCAAGTGGAGCTACGCTCTGAGAGTAAACATAAAAGTAGCCTCAGGAGAAACTGGTTTCAGGATTTTGGACCGAGTCTGCTCCAAGTCAGACCAATATCTTTGCTTCCTTGACCCAATTTCCTTATATTTGATGGGGTTGTTATTCTTGCATAGTTCACATGCGCTTTTGGTTTTGTTTCTCTAAACGTAAAAGGATACTTTTAATCCTATTAAAAAGCAAATAACCAAACTTGGATGTTTTCAAAGCTTCTGTTAAGCTTAGCAATAGAAATTGACAGTTCAGGCTCCCCGCCCGCCGCCCCCCGTCCTCGGTCGGTTCTCTCGTTAGTCCGCCGCCTCCTTAGCCGCCCACCCTCGTCTCCGAGCTTGGGACACGCGGACCGGCGTCGTCGGCGCAGAGAGGCCGGAGTCGGAGCGTCTTCCGAGTGCCTTTCATCCGAGAAGTTCAAGGCACTTTGTAGAACTTCTGCCACAGGCCGCGCGTGGGTCTTGCAGCACATTTGTAAGCAATGGCTGCCATCCGGAAGAAATTGGTGATTGTTGGTGATGGAGCCTGTGGCAAGACTTGCTTGCTCATCGTTTTTAGCAAGGACCAGTTCCCAGAGGTGTATGTGCCTACGGTGTTTGAGAACTATGTGGCAGACATTGAAGTGGATGGAAAGCAGGTGAGTCCACTTTCCATAACAATGGTACGTAGGGCGGGGGCCCTGAGCTGCCCAGCGCGCGTGCCTGCGGGAGTTGCAACGGGAAAGAAACTCTTACAACTCCATTTTGTCTCTTACATTGAACGTGAAACATGAATCACCGGTTTACACGGGGTGAAGTCCAGTTATGTTTTGGGTAGATTTTTTCTATTTAATGCAGCGTTTTTCGAGGTGGTGTAAGTAAAAGATAGCACTGAAGTCCTGGGGGTTAGGATTCTTCAGTGTTGCCAAGAGGGGAGTTACCCAGGAAAGCCATTTTTCATGGTTTAAGTAATTTAAACGATGTCTCATCAAAATAGCATTGATTTGCAACTTTGCTTGGTCCAAGTTGCTGCCCTGACCAGGCGTCCCTTGAGCATCCGTCTCTCGTCACGGCCGGACCCCGTTCCGGGCTGGACCCCGTGTCAGGCCGGACCCCCTGTCAGGCCGGACCCCGTTCCGGGCCGGACCCCCTGTCAGGCCGGACCCCGTTCCAGGTCGCCTTCAGGAGGAGTGCTGTTTGCACGCGAACTGATTTGGTCAGAATCCTGGTTAGTGAGTGGCGGTGGGAAACGCATCGTTTTCACCTCGCAGCTGGTTCCACTCGTGTTTTTTCAGTGGTCCTGATTACAGTTATTTTTTTACGTGTTTGTTGACTTTTGGAGAGAGAGACAGACAGACATTGATTTGTTCCACTTACCCATCTGCTCATTAACTGTTGGGCGTGTGTTCCCCGACTGGGGATCGAACCCCAGACCTTGGCTGCCTGGGCACGCTAACCAGTGAGGGGCCCGGTCAGGGCCCCGATTTAAACCCGGAACCCCTGCTGGTGGCGGGTTTGGTTCCTTTGTGTTGAAGGCAGCCTTTTGAAGTAACTTGCAAGTGTGTAATCAGGTTGTATTCCTCCCTGCCAGGTCTGAATGGGGGAGAAAATACTAAAAAAAAAAAAAAATCTTCAGTTTGTTCAGGGTGAGAAATCTTCAGCCACTTGGTGCTGCGCGCCCGGCTGTGTAAGGTGCCTGTGCAGTTGCAGGGAGGCCCCTTGGACACGGCTAAGTTGGAGATGTTGTCCTGAGAGTTTGACACCCAGACGTTGTTTGGACTGAACGTCCGGGCTCGCTGGTGCAAAGGGTAACTCGCCGGAGGGTCTCTGGGTTCCACCCCCTGCGGCAGCACTGGTGGCTCCTGGGGACATACAGCGGGTACCGTGGGACTTGCTTTGAGTCACACTCTAATCCGAGATTTACAGCTTCTATTCGCATAAAAACCTGCAGTGGGAGGAAGAAGAGAGTGGGAATGCGACTTTTCCGTCGATCCCGAATTTGGGTCGGAAAAGGAATCTTCAGCCCCGTTTGCAGATGAGGACATTCAGTTTAAAGACCCAAATAAATGTCTTCAGTCACGTCCAGCCAGGTACAGGCCACAGCTGTTTTCCTGGAGGGAGTTGTCTGTGCGCTCCCCAACGGCTTGCTTAGAGTCGGCTTATTCCGGTGTTTTCTCCGTTCATATGTTGCTGATTTTACATATGTTGGAAAAATCGGAAAATTTCGTTTTCCAAACAAATTTCAGTTCTTTAACTAAGGTGCTCTCCTCCCTGTAACGGGTGATCCTGAAGCAGCTGATCGGAATAGATAAATCAGCATATATGCCGGTCCCTGCCTAGTCCTGGCTTTAGGTTTTGGGTCTGTGGAGGGACCACCTTCTTCCACAGGCAGTCCCAGACTTCCCTGCCCCAAATGCAACATAATTTTTAATTTATAGGTCAGGCTAAGATGTTATTGAGCAGCTTTGTGCTCGTTTTGATATTGATTTTGAGGTAGAATGGGCAGAAACTACATATATCATGTAGATAATGCCTTGTGTGTGTGGTAGTGGCTTTTTGGAGTATTTTCATAGTCCTGATTCCTTTTTTGTCAGTTAACTTTTTTTTTTTTAAATATATATATTTTTATTGATTTCAGAGAGGAAGTACAAGGGAGAGAGAGATAGAAACATCCACGATGAGAGAGAATTGTGGATCGGCTGCCTCCTGCAAGTCCCCCACGGGGGATCGAGCCCACAACCCGGGCATGTGCCCTCGACTGGAATCGAACCTGGGACCCTTCAGTTCGCAGGCCGACGCTCCATCCACTGAGCCAAACCGGCCAGGGCCAGTTAACTTCTTTTAAAGGTTTACCCTGGTCATGTGGGGGTGTGAGCTGTTAGAGTGAAAACAGGTAGATCTTCAGGTGTTTCCTGTCTGTGGGTGGAGTCCACGCAGTGACAGGAGGAGGAAGTGGTTGCTACTTCGGGTCTTATTTGTCCTAAAGCTGTGAGGTGTATGTTAGCTCTGTCAGAAGAGAGTGATATTTCAGCTTTTGAGAGAACCAATTTGGGCTTCTATAGACAGCACCTTGGGCTTCATTGCATTATGGCTACTAGTGATAATGATAAATGGTACATAATTGCTGGATCGTAATCACATACTTGTAGTTTTAAAAGGTCCCTAAGTATTTCGTCTTCCCTTGCCACTCAGTTTATTCCTTTAAGCACCTGTTCCTACACGTTAATGTAACTACATTTTAAATTTGTGTTGATGTGTCTTACTATACCCTGGAGTATTTTGGGGACATGCTCACTGTTAAGTACTTCTGGGATTAATAAATTAAAATTTCCAAAACAGTTTAAAGTTATTAATTACCATAAAATTCTTATTTCAAGTGTTTCTATTTCAAGTGATTTATTTTTAATCTGTGGGGCTGTGGTAATAAGTTACAGCCTTGTATGCTCATAATTATGGTAGTCATGTGACTGAAAATCAGGTAGGCATTGACATATTTATAGCTAATAATCATCAAAATATGAGAGATACACTGTTAAATTGCAGCCACTTTGTAGTTTATACCAAATGGAGCTTGATTATTTTAAAGAGGGTTGGTAAACTAAATATATTCAATAAGCATAGTTATCACAGTATCTTAATATTCAAGTGAAGGGCAAGAGGAGAAAGTAAGTAGTCGGTGAAATAGGTTTGGAGTAAAGAGAAAAGTGAGAGATAAAATGAAAGTAGAAAGATGGCAAGGACCAGATCATGTACGGCGTTTAGAACATGGGGAGTTCTTCAGGTTTGTTCTGAGATGAGAAATTAGATTTTTTTTCTTTTAGCTGGGAATGTTATGATCTAATACTAAACAAATAAGTGGCTAGAATTGTTCATTGAGGGTAAAGGTAGATCTGACTTTAATAAGCTAATACTAATAATTTCTGACAAAAAAAATCAAAGATTTCCTGTTATTATTTATTTCCTTGACCTGTTTTTTTTTGAAGCCATTGACTTTTCTGACAGTTGCCTTTGGCCTATGGTTTCTCTGTAATGCCTGTATGAAAAAGGAAATATAGTTGATAAAGCAAGTCATTAAAGTGTTTCTGGTAGTCTAGGTGGTAGGGATGCAGGTGTTCACTGTTAAATTCTTTTAACTTTGCTGTGTGTTTGAAAAATTTTTTTTTTTTTTAAATATATTTTATTGATTTTCCACAGAGAGGAAGGGAGAGAGATAGAGAGTTAGAAACATCGATGAGAGAGAGACATCGATCAGCTGCCTCCTGCACATCTCCCACTGGGGATGCGCCCGCAACCCACGTACATGCCCTTGACCGGAATCGAAGCTGCGACCCTTCAGTCCGCAGGCCGACGCTCTATCCACTGAGCCAAACCGGTTTCGGCGTTTGAAAAATTTTATAATAAAAAAGTGGGAAAATTAATTTACATAGGATTTATCTGTTTTTGATATTTGCTTTTAAAAGGGCAACATTCATTTTAATGTCCAGAAAATAAGGTTGTTTGTGTGCATTATGCTAAGTGAAAGATGCCAAGACTTGTATAAATGTGATACTTTTTATGGTGTGTCAATTAAAAATTAAATTTTGTACTTTTTTCCTCACTTGAAATCTAAATTACTTCGTGGAACTTTGGGCAAGCCCATTTACATATTGTGCTATGTATTTTTTCTTGTGAAATGAATAGACATAATTCCTGATTTTTTAAATGTTTTTATAGTGCCTTTCATCCGAGAAGTTCAAGGCACTTTGTAGAACTTCTGCCACAGGCCGCGCGTGGGTCTTGCAGCACATTTGTAAGGTATGTAAATAGAAGCCTCTTCTTTCCTTCTCCTGTCCCCATGGAATAGAGATTGTTATAATATATTGTGTGTTAATGTGGATTCTAGGAAAATGTGGGTGTATCACTACTGCTTTTCTTCTCCACAGTCTTGAGATCGTTATCTTATCCCACAACTTTTCTCTTTGGTCTTGTGTTTCTGCCTCTCCCTGAGGTAGTCCTCTAACTTCCTTTTTCTCTAAGAAATATTTCTTCCTTAGATGACGATACATTTCCTTACCTCTTTCTTAATCTTCAAGGAGATGGACTCACCGTATTACACACACGTTTCTCTTACTTGTGGACCATTCCTCGCATCCTTCTGTTTTTCATGTCTAAGTTTCTTTTGATTAATCCTCACCGGAGGATATTTTTCCCATTGCTTTTCAGGGAGAGTGGAGTGGGGGAGAGAGAGAGAGAAACATCAGTGTGAGAGACACATTAGGGCAGGGATCAAACCTGCAACCCTGGCACACCCCTCAACTTTTGGTGCACGGGCTGGTGCTCTGACCACTGTGCCACTGGCCAGGGCTCATGTTTAAATGTTCATTTTCTGGATTGCATAGTTTGGTCATCTTACAGTTGATCACAGCCTGTGCTGTGGGTATATCTAATTATCAATAGAAAATGAACCAATTAGAGAATGAGAAACAGGACAGTCCTTACCAGAAGAGTGGGCAGTAGCAGTGCCCTGGCTTGGAAGAGAGCAATGTTAACAGCAGGTATAACAGCCCATCTAGCAGCTGTTGCAGATATCTTAAACTGATTACCGATAGGGAAATAGTATTTTAATTGAATGGACACTGTAATAAATGTCCTGGTCTGGTACCATTTGGACCACCTTTTCTTGGTTTCCTTGGATTCGAGGGCACTCTGTGTGGAACAATTATTTCCTAAGGTGATTCTCATTTGAGGAGATGGGCTGCATGACAGGGAAGGCATATGATGGCAGTGGATTTGGTTGGCTTTGAACTCTTTAGTATGTGAGGAATGGCCAAGCTAGTTTGTACTTTTTTCATTATTTACTCATTTAACAAGTAGTTACTACAGAATAGCTACTGCATGCCAGGCGCGTGTGCCCTGACTGGGAGTTGAAGCTGTGACGTTTTGGTGCATGGGTCAGTGCTCAACCATTGAGCCACACCAGCTGGGCTGATTTGGAAATACAGTGTTTAGAGTTCTTTGCGAAAAAGTTCTTTTTTGGATGAAGTCTCTTGTTTAACTTTTCCAGTTATTCAGAAAGAAGCTCTGTTTATCTTTTGAAGGTCTTAAGTTCAGAAAAGAAAGACAATAGAATATCTTAGGTAAGATCATGGACTCTGAAGAGAGGCTAACAGTTAAGTACTAGTTCATACACTTGATAGCTTATGACTCTGGATAGTAATGTGACCCAATGTGACTCAGTTTCCTCTTCTGTAGAATGGGTGACAATGGAGTGCTATGAGGGATCGCAGATCTTGGGGGCAGGGGGAGGTGGAAGAGGGCAAAGCGGAAAAAGAAAATGGTTACACGTCTTCAATATAATTTGGGAGAGATTTTGTTTGTTTGTTTGTTTGTTTTTGGTGTGGGAGTAGTGTCCTAAGAATGAAGTCTTAGGGGAATATAACAGAGTTCGCTACTGGTTCACAAACTGTTGGTATCCAATTCCCAAAACTGGAAACATTTTGGAAAGTTTGTTGTTTTTTAATAGGTTTTATTGATATGAGAGAGTGTGGGGAAGGAAGGGAGAAGGAGGGAGGGGAGGAAGGGGAGAGAGAGAGAGAAACATCAATCAGTTGCCTTCCTCACACACCCTGATTGGGGATTAAACCCGCAACCTGGGTATGTGCCCAGCCTGGGAATCAGACCAGTGACCTTTTGGAGCCTGGGACGATGCTCCAATCACCACACCACACCGGTCGTGGCGGAAAGCCTTTTGGTTTTTTTCCATTAATCGCCTTTATAAAAGGTATAATATCTGTACAACAAATATACTCATTTAAATAGTTTGGCAGTTCCTTAGTTATTAAATACCGCCCAGCCAGCGCCGCTCAGTGGTTGAGCATCAGCCTATGAACCAGGAGGCCGTGGTTCAATTCCCAGTCAGGGTACATGCCTGGGTTGCAGGTTCAATTTCTAATGTGGGGTGAGCAGGAGGCAGCCAATTGATGATTCTCTCTCATCATTGATGTTTCTTTCCCTCTTCCTCTCTGAAATCAATTTAAAAATATATATGTATACATATATAGAGAGAGAGAATTACCATATGACCCAGCAATTCCATTCCTAGATATTTACCCAAAAGAATTGAAAACAGTACTTGAACAAACACTTGTACATAAATGTTCAAAGCAGTATTCATACCCAAAAGGTGGAAACAATCCAAATGTCCATCAACAGGTGGAATGGTACTCAGCCACTTAAAAAAATGGAACACTGACACATGCTACAACATGTATGGACCTTGAAAGAATTATGCTAAGTAAAAGCAGCCAGAGACAAAGGCCACATACTGTATGATTTCATTTATATGAAATGTCCAGTCGGTAAGTCCATAGAGACAGAAAGCAAATTGGTGGTTTTGCCAGGTGCTGGGGCGCGGGGGAGTGGGCGTGGAGCTGCCTGTTTAATGGGTGTGGAGTTTCTTTTGTGGTGATGGTTTTGGACCTAGGTAGTGTTGGTGCATTGCTGTGGTGATGGTTTTGGACCTAGGTAGTGTTGGTGTAACACGCACAGCATTGCCAATGCACTAAGTAGCACTGGAATTGTATACTGTAAAAAGGTTAACTTTGTATTATGTGAACTTCACCTCAGTTAAAAAAAAGAAAGTTTTAAATAGATGTTCAGTCCCCACCCTGAAGGTTTCAGTCTTCTAAGTGTGGAGGCTTGAAGAATGGAGGTGTTGTGCCAGAACGCATGGTGCCTAGCGGCGCGAGGTGAGCGCTGACACTCCGGCAGGCCATTCGGTGCCGCCGTGGGCTTCCCTGTAGCTCCTGCTTCTCTGCCGGGGCAGCGCAGTGGAGAGTTAGGCTGCACGGAGGCATCCCGATCCTGTGCATCCGTGTAAGGCTAACCTTGGGATATCGGCATTTTGAGGTGGCTGTCACGACACCGAGAAAGTGTTCCCTCAGTGTTTCTTGCCCCCCCCCCCCCCCAAGGAATTGAAGTCTGGGTGAGTCTCTCTTGGCATTATATTGGAGGCTTGGTCACCCCTTTGCTTGCCTTTGTGTGCCTTAGGCACGCTGCTCCATCTCCAAGGGCCCTTGAGCTGGCATCAACTCTTGGCAACTGCTCGATCAAGATGGCAAATAATCCAGGCTCAAGCTCATTATGAGCACATGGCAGATGGTGGTTTGAGCCTTTTTGCCAGAGGTTTCCTATGTAGTTTGTAAATAAATGGCTTTATGTTTTCAGTTTAATTTCCCGTTGTTTAATGGTGTTTCCTGTGGCGGGCACAGTTCTGGGTGTGGGTGAACCTGGAGTTGATAGGATAGATTTCTGCCCATGGCAGTGAAACAGTTTAAATCCAGTGGAACCTCTTTTCTCAAACTTAATTCATTCCGGAAGGCTGTTTGAAAACTGAATTATTTTTTCCCACTAGAAATAACGTAAATTGAATTAATCCGTTCCAGACCCCCAAATGATTCCCTGTTTTAACTTTTCTTACATGTCTATTGTACTGTTTAATCTTTAAGTAAACACTTTAAAAACAAAAAGGACATGAAATATAAATGAAAATTTAACAATTACAAGCAGCAACAGAAACAATAAAATACGAAAATGTTCACAGCACAATATCCTGAGGTTTTAACAGGTAAACGGATTCCTATTCCCGCATTCTCTCTTTTGCTTGTTCACTGAGAGAGAGATGCGTGACTGCTCGCACGGGTATCAACATGGAAGGGTTGTCAGGTTGAGAAGTGAATTCTTTGAGATGGGAGACGTTGGAGAAACTTACTAAGGATTCTTCCTCTGACTTACTGAAGAGTATGTTTCCTCTTCATTTAAGGTGTCTACTTTGCCTGGCCAGTGTGGCTCACTGGTTGAGCATGGACTTTTGAACCAGGAGGTCACGGTTCGATTCCAGGTTGGGGCACATCCCTGGGTTGTGGGCTCAGTCCCCAGTAAGGGGGGGGGGGGTGTAGGAGGTAGCTAATCCATGATTCTCATCATTGATGTTTTTCTCTCCCTCTCTCTTCCTTTCTGAAATAATTAAAAAATATTGTTTAGCCCTAGCTGGTTTGGATAGTGCATCGGCCTGCTGACTGAAGATTCCTGGATTCGATTCCAGTGAAGGGTACGTGCTCCAGCTGTGGGCTTGATCCCCAGTGTGGGGCATACAGGAGGCAGCGATCCATGATTCTCATCGTTGCTGTTTTTTTCTCTCTCTCTCTCCCTCTCCCTCCCTCTCTGAAATCAATAAAAAAAAATTTTTTTTTAAAATACTTTAGCCCTAGCTGGTTTGGCTAAGTGAATAGAGCATTGGCCTGTGGACCAAAAGGTCCCGGGTTCAATTCCAATCAAGGGCATGTACCTCAGTTGTAGGCCCCTCCCCGGCCTTGGCCCTGGTCTGGGCTCAAGCAGGAGGCAACCAATTGATGTGTATCTCTCACATTGATGTTTCTCCTTGTTTTTCCTTCTGTCTGTCTGCTACTCTCTCTAAAAATCAATGGGGAAAAATACTTGAAAAAAAGATGTATATTTTATAAAGGGCGAGAAGCTGGGGAATGAGTGTTGGAAAAGGGTGTGTTTCTGAAAGGGGTATAATTCCTTTCAACCATGTTTATTTGGACACAAATTTTAGGACTCTCTTGAGAAAAGGCTGCATTTTTACCTTTATTTTCAGTTTTATAGTGCTGATAGCTTTGCGTCAAGAGGATGCAAGCTTTACTTCAAGAGGGTGCATTGTAGGGCAACTTTTACACTTCTCTGTGATTTGTATGTGCTTAGTGATTCTTATAGAACCTTTGAGACATGAAACCATTGAGATGGTGTTACTGTGCTCTTGACAACTAAAACTTCTTCCTTAAAACGTGTTTCGTTTTGTAGTGGGTATCTTCTCTTTTTCTGTCCTATCGGTATCTGGGCATTAAGCTTCCGTGTGTAATGATTAAGGTCTTTCCTCCTAAAGGATTTTTGAGGTCCATCTTTGAAGTCTGTTGCTCCACTCTAGGACTTTGAATTGGCCCGAATGACACTTTCCTCCCTCCCCATTGACATTTCTGAGCCCAATTTACAGGGTTTTCTGCCTCCTACATTCTTGTCAAAGGCTGTACCTCTTCTCACCCAAGCATGTATTTTTCTAAATTACTGTGAACTGATCTACTGGCCACTTAGACTTAAACAGTTGTCTAAAATAAGAGCAGATGAGTTTAGAAGGAGGTTCTGTGCTGTAACACTCCTTGTTACAGACTGATTCTTGTACTATCAAAGCAAAGTGCCGAAGGAGGAAGACTCACCACTAGCATACACAGCTGATCGTGTTGTAACTTTTCTTTTTCTTATTTATTTATTGGATTTTTAAATTGATTTTTAGAGAGAGAAGAAGGGAGTGAGAGAGAAACATTGATGTGAGAGTGAAACATCGATTGGCTACCTCCTATATACCTCATACCGGGAGTCGAATCTACAACATTTCCGTGCTCTGGATGATGCCACAGTGACCAGGGCTAACTTTTCTTTTTTCAGTTTTTGTTTCCTTTATTGAATTTTAGAGAAAGAGGAAGGAAGAGGGATGAAGAGATAGAAACATCAGTGAAAGAAAAACATCACCGCCCTAACCGATTTGGCTCAGTGGATAGAGTCAGCCTGCGGACTGAAAGGTCCCAGGATCGATTCCGGTCAAGGGCATGTACCTCAGTTTCGGGCACATCCCCAATAGGAGGTGTGCAGGAGGCAGCTGATTGATGTTTCTCTCTCATCGATGTTTCTAACTCTACCCTCTCCCTTCCTCTCTGCAAAAAAATCAATAAAATATATTTAAAAAACAAAAACACCGAGCGGCTGTCTCCTTCATGCACACCCCCTCTCCCCATCCCCTGGATCGAGCTGGCATCCTGAGCATGTGCCCTGACTGAGAATCGAACCAGTGATTTATTGATTCATGGGTTGACACTCAACTGCTGAGCCATACCAGTCGGGCCTTTATTTTTTATTGATTTCAGAGAGGAGGGGAGAGAGACAGAGAGATAGGAATCTCAATGATGGGAGAGAATCATTGATCGACTGCTTCTGCACACCCCCTACTGAGGATCAAGTCCAGAACCCAGGCATGTGCCCTTGATCGGAATCGAACCTGGGACTCCTCAGTCTGCAGGCCAATGCTCTAGCCATTGAGCAAAACCAGCTAGGGCCGGGCCTTCTTTATAAAATCTGCATGCCGCACATTAGTTATGTAAAGTTTCTTGGCTCCTGGAAATTTATTTTTTCAAATTTGTTATTTGAATATTTAACTATTTGTTATTTGAACATTTAACTATTCTGTGCTTGTCGGAATAAGACAGATATTATTATACCAGTGGAGTCTGGCAGGAAGAACTTTGGAGGGGTGTAAAGAGTGGGGAAGAGCCCTGGCTGGTTTGGCTCAGTGGATAGAGCATTGGCCTGTGGACTGTAGGGTCCCAGGTTCAATTCCTATCAAGGGCACGTGCCAGGTTGTGGGCTCCATCCCCATTGTGGGACATGCAGGAGGCAACCTATCAATGATTCTCATCATTGATGTCTCTCTCCCTCACTGAAATCAATAAAAATATTTATCTTTTTTAAAAAATGAGGGTGGGGAAGAGAGAAATGTTAGGTGCTGGGGGAGGACCTAAGGGGCCTGATCTAAGTTGACAGCTCAGGGAAGGCCTTGAGAGAGCGACTTAGCCTTAGGTAGGAGGTTTCACCTAGTGGGCGAGGGAAGGTGAGTGGGATGCACGCAGGCCTGGATAGAGGGAAGGAGGAAGAAACCATGGCTTAATAACCTGAGTTGTGGGTATTTTATTGTTTTGGCCGAGAGTGGTTGTGTGCTTGGGGTTTTATAATTTCGCATTAGTGTCTTGGGATTTAGTTATTACCTTACCTGCAATATGGCATTTATACCCAGATTTCATCCAAAATATTTTTGCATTCCTTACATTGACACTACTGCCTCCCACAGAAACTAACATTGACAAAACTAGGGTTGGGTAGAAGTTTTTACATACACTAGGATCATTCTTAATGAAATTCACAGAATTTTTATGTGTTTTTTAAATTTTCAAGTTTAGTTTTCAAAAGACTAGACAACCCTTACTTTGTAAGAGTCATCTGTACAATAATGGTTTATATCAACTTATTTGGGAAGAGAAATATAAAAATTTTTCACCTGGATTACATAATTGAGACTTATGGGTGTCAACAGGATAAGTCTTATGAACTCAATTTCTAATCTTAAGTCCTGTTTAAAGTAATAAATGCTAGAAAAAAGTAAAAATTAAGTCATGTTCAAAGCTATGCTGTAGTAAATGCTTTTATTTCATGGATGGTTGAGAAATGGTAGAAAGCTTGCTGTACTCATCACTGTTTCTTTTGCATTATTAGTCTCTATGAAGAATTATGAGGTAAAATTATAATTATCAAGTATGCTGAATTAGTCATTTTTAAAGCTGTGATTATTTTATCTGCATGGAACTTTACTCATTATCTTTCCAAAATATTATAAAGATCTTGATCCAGCAGAAGCAGCATAGTTATTCAGTCAAATTATTTCTACTTCTGTTTTTGGCTGAAGAACTCTTTTGTGCTTGCTTATAATGAATGTGTGGCTAATAAATGTCTGCATAATGCATTCATTATAATCTGGTAGCACCATTTCAAAATCTTCGGTGGCTCCTTATCTGCCAAAAATAAGCTAAAAATTGTGTATAGTAGCAGATTTATGATGAGTCTGAGAAAATTAGTATTGCAAATGTGTAGTCCCTAAACTAGTTATCAAAATTTTCCCTATAAAAAAAGAAATCACTAAAAATAAAAAAATAAAAATTATTTAGCTAATTTAGGTTATAGAATTCAAATTACTGTCAGTCCTGCATTTTAAGCATACCACACAACCCTTGTTCGCCTACTTGAAAGCCTATCTTGTTTTAATTTTCCAAGAGAAATGGTAGGAGGGTCTCGGGCCACTTCTCTGAGATAACAGTGTGGTTGGAGTCATGGAAAAATCAGACTTGGGGGCATTGGGAAAGTGTTTTAAAAGGATTGAGAGGAGTCTGTGTGTTTAAAGCAAATTGGCTTAAGGCTTTTCG